AAAATCCTGCAAAAGGAAGCTAGAAAGCAGGCTGGGGCTGTTGAACCTGAATGCAGCTGTGGCCAGGTCAGGACACTTCAAGAGGTGGTAGATGGAACTGTCAAAATGTGCATCCATCCTTCCTTCATCCACAAATATACACAGACAACCCAGGCATGGTAGGGCCCATCTGTAATCTCAGCACTCAGGAGGGAGAGGCAGGAGGATCAGTTTGAGGCCAGTCTGAACTACATAGTGAAACTCTGTGTCAAGGTACACAAATAAAGAATGTCTCCTAGCTGGGCATCTGTGGCTCACACCTGTAATCCTAGCTACTCAGGAGGCTGAGATCTGAGGATCCCAGTTGAAAGCCAGCTCAGGTAGAAAAGTCCAGGAGACTCTTATCTCCAATTAACCACAAAAAGCTAGAAGTGGAGCTGTGACTAAAGTGGTAGAGCATTAGCCTCAAGAGCTCAGAGACAGTGCTCAGGCTGAGATTCAAGTCTCAGGACTCTCTTTCTCTCTCTCTCTCTCTCCCACACACACACACAAAAGGAAAAAGAATGATTCCTTCCAGGTCAACATTTGGGAGGGCCTTGGGGAGTCCAGGGGGATAGATGAAAACAGCCTGGGCACATGGTATCCTATGTGTTATCACAAAGGAGAATTTGCTGAGGATTTCCAACTCTCTGCCCAACACACTCATTCTCTCTGAGCCTAGGTCCTGCAGCCCATCCTCATCCTCGGAGAAGCCTTCCTGGCCCCCCCCCCCAGCATCCTCAGAGCTGAGCTCAGGCTTCCAGGGGGCTCTTATGGGCTGTGGAGTGCTGAGTGATTAGCTAGGTGAGGAGTAAACATTTGCTAAGTGGGATTCTGGCTCCCTGGTAATGATTGAGCCTGGCAGGAGGGGGAGGGGTGAAGACGGAGTTCAGGGGAGCGGTCCTGCAGATTCCCAGTAGTTCTGAGGAGCAGGCACGTGTGGAAATGGCCAAGGGATGGGGGAAGCCGGGAGTGGAGGCTGCAGAGACTAAATGATTATGGAATGCATTCGGAGCTTGGAAGCAGCAGGTGTCTGGGAATGGGACTCTGGCCCAGGCAGATTTCCAGCAAGCGCTCCAGCTTGCTGGCATGGAGGATTTGGCTGAGAACAGGAGGCAAGTGGCAATGATGAAACCCTCTGTTGAGGGATATTGGTTAAGGGTGCCACCAGGGGGGCCATGTGCTTGTAGAAAGGCTGGGGGTGTGGGGGTGGGAAGAGCTCAAATGGCAGAACCACACATTCCTTCTACTTCCAAGACAGAGTCCAAGTTTCTGAGTGGGACTTGGGCTTCCCCATTGCCAGGCTAGTCTCCCAAAACCCCAGCAAATACTGTGCTTAGTCTCAGCTGGCTGCTGCTTTTAGACACCCTGGAGGCCTCTGCTAGTGAGAGCCTCCAGCTCTCTCCTGGTATCCTCTCTGTGCTCTTCTCTGACCCACTCTTCATCTGCAGAGACCAGAGAGGTGTACCTCCTGGAAATCCTCTGACTCCCCCAAACCCAACAAATTCCTCATTTTAGAGAGGGGAGAGTGGTAATACAGACTTTAGTCCTATACTAGAAACATGAGTACCTTCCAGACATGGTGGTGCAAGCCTATAATCTGAGCTAGGTGGAGGCAGAGATAGGCTCTCTGAGGCTGGCCCTGGACACAAAGGCAAGACATTACTTGGAAAATAAAAATAAAAGGCTGTGGGTATGGTTCAAGCAACAGAGCGCCTGCCTAGCAAGTTTGAGTCCTTGAGTTCAAACACTAGTACTGCCAAAGGGGAAAAAAAAAAGAAAAAAGGAAGGGATACTTGCCCCACATCTAAGCTCTGAGCAGCTTTTAGAGTCATGTTACATGGAGGCCTTTGACCAGTATTTGTGGAACACACAGTAGAGATCCAAGCCAAGTTCTGGGGTCGTGGGAGGAGCTTGTGTGGAATGAGACCACCAAGGGCCAGCCAGCACCTCCCTCTGGGTTCCCTGCATCCCACCATCCTAGACAGAGGACTGCCTGCTGAGAGGGAAAGGAAGAGGATACAGGAGGGAAGATTCTTTCTGGGACTCTCAAAAAGTGCTAAGTTGGGCTGGAGAAATGGTTCAAGTGGTAAAGCACTTGTCTAACAGTCACAGGGCCTTAAGTCCAAACCCCAGTCTTCCCCTCAAAACAGTTAAAAAGAATAATTATAATTAGCCAAAGAGTCTTGAGCCAAGATAGCAGAGCACAGGTCTCAGTTAGAGCAGACAGGTGACTTCGAACCCCAGGATGACAGGGTACACATTGTTCTAATCTGAGTACCCTGCTCTCAGATGACTCAGGGGCAGCTAGATCTGGTAAAGAGCAGCTTCAAGTAAACCTGATTTGTCACCTTGCTTTTATGTTTAGGCAATGGTGTCATCATAACTGCTTGGCCTAGGAGCTGCTGAGTGACAAGTGATGTCATCTTCAACAGATGCTTCCTCCCTCCTAAAGGAGAAATCTACTAAAAATACACTCAGCACCCAGGGCCCTGCTGATGGGCCTGTAATGACAGTGGGCAGTCAGAGACTGTGCTGAACTGGACAGAAACAGAGGCTTTATGAGACATTAACATTTTTCCTCCTGACATTTTACTTCTATGGTATAGGACTTACTAAGTCTTTAAAAAGAATTTAATAAACTGCTTAAACTTTTGATTTTCCCACTGAGGGCTTTGCTGTCTGAGGTTGGAAATGAAATCAACAACCTAACAACCTCCTTGATTCTAAGGGATGACTATGCCGGGGCACTGGTCTGGGTCAGAGGAAGCTGGAAGCTACAGCAAGTCTAAGATGTTTTGTCCTGCTGTCACTAGATTCCCTCTGGTGAATGTCCAGAGCTTGATGGTGAAATCCGTCCTCAACTTTTGGCCAATTTCACTACCAGAGAGGCAGACACAGCCTCCAGGGTCTGTCTGCTGCTGTCCCAGGCAGTCCCTGGCTTCCTGGAAAACACTAGGCCCCAGGAACTGGCTGTTCCCTTCCAGCCTCCTGAGAATCAATACCTCAGCAGCTGCTGCTGAGGCTCATGGGAACAGACCAGGAAAGATCCAGGACCAGTCTGCTCTGGAGATAGAGATGTGTCGACCCAGTACAGCCAGAATGTGGGAAGTGAATCATATTCTGTTGCAGGCAAGAGAAGATGGATGGAAGAGAGAACACGTTGTGTGTGTGTGTGTGTGTGTGTGTGTGTGTGTGCGCGCGCATGCATGTGTGCACTAGCATACGTACCTGCTCTTGTGAGTCCCTGTGAGTCACAGTGTCCCTGCCCCCTATGGTTCCTTCTGCCAACAAGTATGCTGTGTTCTTAGATCTGTGCCTGGCCAGGCTCGCCCACCCCACCAAAGCCCAAGATCTGCCACCCATCAGGAATGCGGGGTTAGGAAATGAAAAACAGGTTCTTGTCCAAGAAAAAAAAATTTATTATTATTTTTCTCTCTTAATTGGATTCAGCATTTCTCACTCCTCACACACATTCTCTCTGGCGGGGAACTCAAGTTTGTGCAAAGCGCAAAATGGGACTCTGCTTGCCTGGGCCCCTGGCCAGCAGCCCCTCTCACCTGACGGGGCTTATCTGTTCAGCTCCCGGCAGGCGACCTGTCCCAGTGCCTGACCTCCGAGTTTAGCCCTCTGACCTCTGCCTGTTCCCAGCCATATCCAGAGGATTCAGAAGAGAGGAGGCTTCCATAATGCAGGAGATGGTTCTTGAAAAGCCCTCGTCATTTTCCTGCTGTGAAGGCCACCTCCTGGTGCCCTCCTACCAAGCTACACAGGGCCCTTGCCAGGTCACCCACCAGAGAGCCTCAGGGTAAAACTCAGCAGCTGAGCCATGCTCCCAGCCTGCACTTCCACTTAATCATCTGGCCTGTGTTGACCATCACTTGCAAAATGCTAGATTGAAGACACTGTCCAACCTGTTGGACTAACACTGTGGATGCTGCTCTGTCTGCTGGCTTACAAACCCCCAAGCCCCATCCCTCTCCTTCTGTCTAGATGGCTCCCAGCACCTGGCTCCCTGACATCCAACACACTGCTTCCCACGTGTCATCCTGACTCCCACAGCTTCAATAGTAGGGGTGATGGGGTGCTTCAGGGCGCCAGACAGGCTTGTGTTTGCATATAAAAACAAGGTGATGTTCTAAATGTCTAAGAATATTGGTCCCCTGAAGTGATTCTCACTGCCTCCCTTTCTCCCTAACCCTTATCATTGTTATCTTGCCCCTAGCCCTGATAAGCCCAGCTTACATAGGGACTATTGTTGCCAGGCTGGGATTCTAGGCAAAAATTCTATAACTTATTTCTTGCTAGAAATCACCAGTACAATCCATATAGTTTATAAACATGATGATAAGACATACAATTTGGTAACAGAGTGGCTGGGGGAGGGGCAGGGAACCTGTGCATTTTGTATGTATATATATATAGATAGATGTGGAGTGTGTGTGTATATATATATATATAAGTGGACATAGGTATAAAACTGCACCTTCTGTGAGAATCTCATTGCATGTGATAAGGTTCTAAATTTCAGCCTCTGATGATCTTTCCTTTGGTAATTGGTTCTTGGGCCCCAGCAGGTGAACCTGGGTCTGCCAGGGTTGCCTGAGACATCAGGAATGAGAGGTGTTCCCCCCTCCTCCCTGAGGGAGGGGTTGAAGGTGACATAGCGCTAGATTCAGGGCAAGTCGATTAAATGGCCTCAGGAAAGGGCCAAGATGCCACCTGCTTGAGTGTTCCCAGACTGCTGGTCGACCCAGCTGGCTCTGGGTGAGCCTTGTTTGTTCTGAGTCCTGCTTCCTCCAAGAACAGTGGGTCCCTTTCGATGATCTCTCAAATGATCAGGATTCCACAGAGCCCAGCTCCCAAGAGAGGAGCTTGTCCCATCACTGCTAATGAAGGATTCACTTCACGTGCCATGTTGGAGCAGACACTGTCCATGGGTGCTTGGCTGAGGCTGGCTGGGGCAGCTGGGTGAGATGTACTAATCCCCTCCCGTCTAGGGCTGTACACTGGGGTTTATAATCCACCGGGTAGGGTCCAGATAGCAGCTGAAGGCTCTATCAGCCTTTTCCTGAAACCCAGCAGATCCTCCACTTGTGAAAAAAAAGAAAAGAAAAGAAATGCTGTTCCTTGCTGGACATGTGGCAGTGCCGGGTGCTGGTACCCTGGGCCCTCAGCGAAGAGTAACCGCCAGCCCCAGTATCCAAGCCAGGAGTGAGGCCCCTAGGGAAGTGCCTGAGGAGGCCTGCTGCACCCCACTGGGGGCACGGATGAGGGTCCTGCGGGCACATTTGCCCTTCCTTTTGGGCCGTGCTGTGGGCATGAGATCAAAGCCAAACTTGTGCTGGTAGTCGGGGGCATAGTCCTGCAGCTCATGGGGCTGCTTGCCGGCGCCCATCTTAGAGATCTGGTTTCGGTTCCTGTGGCTAGTACAGTTCTTCCCTGGCTTCTTGTAGCCTGACCTGGAACCGGGAAGATGGCCATGAGGATGGCCCCTGTCTCTGCTGGGGCCATGGGGGAGCTGCTTTTTGCGAGCAGCTCTGTCAGTGGTGGTGAGTGTGTGCGACTTGATCTGGTGTGGCGATGCTGGCCCTGTGCAGTTCCGGAAGTCCTCGGCCCTCAGCAGCTTCAGGTCCTGGCCTTGCCTCAGCTCGGGGGTGGCACAGGGGACAGCAGAGCTGGAGCCTCGGAATCTCCGCAGCCATTCCCACAGGGATCGAGCGCGGCAGCCACAGTCCCAGGCGTTCCCATTGAGGCGAAGGAACTCCAGGGCTGCCAGGGGGGCCAGGCATTCACCTTGCAGCTCTGAGAGGCTGTTGTTGAAGAGGAATAGAGTGGTCAGCCTATGAAGATCGTGGAAAGCCTTGTGGTGGACCCACTGCAGCTGGTTCTCATGCAACAGTAGCCGATCCAGGTTGACCAGGCCCCGGAAGGGACCCTGGCCTAGGCTCCACAGCTTATTGCCATGGAGAAACAAGTGGCTGAGGTTGACCAGGTCCACAAAGATGTCATCCTGGAGGTACTCAATGTGGTTTTCCTGCAAGTAGAGGTACTGCAGGCTGTGCAAGCCGCCAAAGATGCCCGCAGGCAGGGCACTAAGCCCACACTTATAGAGGTAGAGGGCATGAAGTTTCACCAGGCCTTGGAACGTCTCAGGTGCCAGCGTCCGCAGCTGCCGGTTGTCACCGAGGTCCAGTTCCTCTAGGTGCACAAAGCCCTCAAAGGTGTTGGGATCAATGTAGGTGATGTTGTTGGAGTAGATCCACAGGGTGACCATGGCGGGACTGAAATGGCCTTGCTGCAAGAGGGTGATGCGATTGTTCTGGAGGAAGATGCGCTCGCTCTCTTCAGGGATGCCTTCTGGGATGGCGGCAAAGTTGTGCGCCTGGCAACTGACAGTCATGGGCGCTGGGTAGCACACACAGTCCCGTGGGCAGCCGCCACCCAGGGGTAGCTCCCCAGCCAGCAGCAGCAGCAGCAGTTCCACACAGCACCCTGGCAGGGAGAGAGACAGCACAGCCAGTCAGGGGCTGCCCAGGGATCGGAGAGACAGACAGGCAAGGAGGGTGGGATGGGGACTGACATAGGGCTCTCCTCCATTGCCCTCCTCAGGGTCTGTTCTTGACCATACTGTAGCATGTGTCTCTTAGGCTGGATGGTAAATTTGGGCTTGGGGACCCTGATAACTCCAATATCCCCTTAGCTCTGCCCCTCAAGCCTCTTAAGCTCTACCTCAAGCAGCTGAGCCGAGCCTCCTCATCTTTATCGGCCCTGCTGCTATGAAGGCCCACAGTTGTGGACCAAAATGATCAGCCTCTGGCTCTGGTCACAGGCCTGCTACTTGTTTAGTATTATCTACCATCACGGACAATAGTTCTAACAAAGTATCACATCTGGTGTCCCGAGGAATCATTTTATCTTAATTATTTTAAATAAAGCTGGGCACTGTGGTGGTTCATGCCTATAATCTAGCTACTCAGGAGGCTGAGATCTGAGGACAAAGGTTCGAAGCCAGACTAGGCATGAAAGTCCTGGAGATTCTTATCTCCAATTAACCAGCAAAAAGCTGCAAGTGAAGCTGTGTCTCAAGTGGTAGAGCACCAGCCTTAATGAAAAAGCCAAGCAAGAGTACAAAGCCCTAAGTTAAAGCCCAGTTCTAGTCACACAAAAAAATGTTCCTGGGCTGGGAAGGTGGCTCAGTGGTAGAGTGCTTGCCTTGCATGCATGAGGCCCTGGGTTCAATTCCTCAGCACCACATAAGCAGAAAAAGCCAGAAGTGGTACTGTGGCTCAAGTGGTAAAGTGTTAGCCTTGAGCTGAAGAGCACAGGGACAGCTCCCAGGCCCAGAATTCAAGCCCCACTATAGACAAAACAAAAAAACAAAAACAAAGAAATAATACCCACAAAGCACCTACCCCTAATAAGGTGAATTCCAAAAGTACATTGTTGAGAGCTAGGGATGGCAGGAGAGCTTAGGGTTTATATCTCATATGTGCAGGACCATAGGTTGGAGCCTTAATACACACACACACACACACACACACACACAGAGGCTGGCAAGGTGGCTCACACTTGTAATTCTATCTACTTAGGAGGACCAAGGTTCAAGGCCAGCCTATCTCAATCAATAAAGCCAGGAAGGAGAGTGTACACCTCATTGTCAGCTATGCAGGAAGTATAAATAGGAGGCTTACAGTTCAGGCTGGCCCAGACAGAATTGTGAGAGCTTATTTGAAAAAAAAAAAAGGCAAAGGGCTGGGAAGGTGGCTCAGTGGTAGAGCGCTTGCCTTGCACGCCTGAGGCCCTGGGTTCGATTCCTCAACACTACATAAGCAAAAAGAAAAAAGCCGGAAGTGGTGCTGTGGCTCAAGTGGTAGAATGCTAGCCTTGGGCTGAAGAGCTGAGGGGCAGCGCCCAGGCCCAGAGTTCAGGCCCCACAACCGGACCGCCCCCCCCCAAAGAAAAAGGCAAAAAGCACCGAAGGCATGGCTCAAGAAGTGGAATGCCTGCTTAGCAGGTGCAAAATCCTAAGTTCAAATCCTAGTGCCACCAAAAAGAGAAACAAAGTTGTTATCTGTGCTGTGTTTGTGGAGGGGCAAAAATCTATTAGGTATGTATAGCCCCCCTGTGCTGCAGTGCCCTGACCTCTGGGAGGTATTTTCATACTCTCAACTGATTAGAAGCTCCCTGGTGGTAACAGCCTCCATTTCTTTTCATTTTTGTCAGTTGTGGGCCTTGAACTCAGGGCCTGGGCACTGCCCCTGAGCTCTTTTGCTCAAGGCTAACGCACTACCACTTTGAGCCACAACTCCATTTCTGGTTTTTGAGTGGTTAATTGGAGACAAAAATCTCATGGGGACTTTTCTCACTGGGTTGGATTTGAACTACAGTCCTCAGATCTCAGCCTCCTGGGTAACTAGGATTACAGGTATAAGCCACCAGTGTCTGGCAGTTGCTTCTATTGCTTTCTTTCTTTCTTCCTTTCTTTCTCTCTTTCTTTCTTGTCGGTCATGGAGTTTGAACTCTGGGTTTGGGCGCTGTCCCTGTGCTCTTCAGCTCAAGGCGAGCACTCTACCGCTTGAGCCACAGCACCACTTCTGGTTTTCTAGTGGTTTATTGGTGACAAGGGTCTCACGGAACTTTCCTACCCTGGCTGGCTTTGAACCGAGATCCTCAGATCTCAGCCTCCTGAGTAGCTAGGATTACAGGCGTGAGCCACCAGCGCCCAGCTCGCCTCTATTTCTAAGGCTCCAGAAGGCAAGTCTGGGACAGTAAGTATGACATTGCAGATAGGTCTAGGTCAGGTTTTTTTGTTTGTTTTGTTTTGAGACAGGGTCTTGCTATGGGCCCCAAGTTGACCTCAAACTCATTCCTGACTCAATGCCTTTCATGCTGGGATCACAAGCGTAGGCCTCTACAGCTGGCTCAATAGGTCACCTTAGAACATAAACAGCAGCCGGG